GAGCAGTGCAGCTTAATGCAACAGTGCTCCTCAATGCAACAGTGCTCCTCCAGTTCATCCTGAGCGCATGCAGACAGTCTGAATTTGTGAGCACGTAAGGAAAGTCAGGAAGTTCTGTTTGACTTCCTGTAAGCAGTGATGTGCAGAAGAGCTGTAAGGTAACATTAAACTGCTTTTGGCTCAACAGCTTGCAGTGTGCCCCAGGTTTTGTGTTTGTTAGCACAGATGACTGCAGTCATTCCTTACTTTGGAAAGCAATTTGTGATGGCAGGTGACGCTCCTCTGGTTAACTCAAGCACGATACAAAGGTTCTATAAAAGAAGGCGGTACCTGGTGGGGCTACGAAATATTCCTCTACTTTCTCTCTGGCGTTTTTCAGCAGCTCTGCCGTGCAGCTGCCCTCTGTAACGTCATCTTCCCGGAGATACAGACACCTGAGGACAGCGGCCAGGGGTCTGTGCGCTGCGCAGAGGGCCGGATGCGAACGTGGGCGACTCCCAGCACCAAGGCGCCCGACGGCCGCACAGCGCAGAGCCGCGGCCCTTACCTGTCCTCCAGCACCGAGTCCATCGGCTCGACTCCCTCCGTGTTCACCTCCCGCAGCCGCTCAGCGAACCGCACCGCCTCCCGCAGCCGCTCAACGCCCTCGGCATCGCGGAAGTCCACCAGGGCCAGGCGCTCCAGGTGGTCGAGAACCTCCACCGTGACGCCGTCCTGCAACAGAGCGGAGATGGGGCTGCTCAAACCGTTACCACCCCCAACGGAACGGCGCGGCCCCGGGCGCTGCCCGACCTGCGGGGGCGACGCGGAGCTCGCAGTGGCCGCCCCGCATCCGAGGGCTCGCACCGTCCCGCCCCGCAACCACCGGCACAAGCCCAACACCCGCATCGCGCGCCACCGGAAGCGGCTCGTGACGTCATCGACACGCGCCGGAAGTGCGTCGGAACGGTGGCGGAGGGGCCGTGCCGCCGCCATGAATAGTGTAGGGGAGGCGTGCACCGAGCTGAAGCGCGAGTACGACCAGTGCTTTAACCGCTGGTTCGCCGAGAAGTTCCTCAAGGGCGAGAACGACGGGGACCCCTGCGGGCAGCTCTTCAAGCGCTACCAGCTCTGCGTGCAGGTGCGAGCCCTGCAGAGCCGCCGCCTGCACGGACTTCAGCGTCCGTAACGTTAGGAGCCCACCCGGGGCAGACCTGGGGCTGCTATTTCTAGATGATGTTTTGAACCGAAACTTTTGTTTCTCAGCACTGTAAAGCGCTGTCTGAAACACGCTTCCAACATAACTTGTTTTGTTCTTGTTCTTTCCAGAAAGCGATCAAGGAGAAGGACATACCCATCGAAGGGCTGGAGTTCATGGGCCCGAGCAAAGGGAAAGCTGAAAATTCCTCTTGACTTCAGCTGACCGGAGGGAGTCATTAATACGAGCCTGTGGGCTGAGAACGGTGACCAGCCAGCAGCCGGGACGCACCTGGATAGCGTTTTGCTAAGCTGCTTCCTCTCTGTAGCATTCTAGGAAGTGGGGTGTTTTCTATGCCTGTAAAAACAAACTGCCACGAACCAAAAGTCTTCATGATGTGCTACCTGCTGCCTCCTTTTCAGTGAATTGTGGTGGTGGTTCGGCTTATAAGAGTGCAGAAAGATGATTTAACTAACTTCTATCGAATGTACTTTGTAATGGGAGATGTTGAACTTATAGTTAATCTCTGACCCATTTCTCTTGCTTATTTATATAACACTTAGAGGTGTTTAACAAGAAGGTTGATTTACTTTGCCTCATCTCTGTGGTGCTGAATTTGGGTGGAAGAAGTCTGGTTTATACGATCCCAAAAGACAAGGGGCTAAAGCATTGATGTTGCCATTAACAGAGATAGTGTAAAAGCACTTTTGTTGGACTTGCAATAACTGAAATGAAATAAATATAACAAGTTACATTTTGTTCAAGTGGATAAGTGTCTGGTAGCGTCTGATTATGATCTCCAAGAGGAACAAAGGCAGCCTGTAACAGAAGTGAAGGAACAGTTAATGCAGAGCCCCCACTTTCTTCGGCCTTTTCTGAGGTACTGAAGTAATCCTGAATTTGAATTCTTGCTCCTTTGGTGTAATGTATCACTGCAGTAGAACTGCACAGGCCTGGCCATCTTTGTACACGCTACCAATGGAGCACCAGGTTGGCTACAACTACTGTTACATTTTTCATTGAGATAATTAAAGTATGTGTTGAATGAGAACAATGGTGAACTGAAGTTTTACAGCTGGTAAGTTAAAAGCCCCAGCAGCTTGTCCTGCCTCACCTCACCTGCTTACGAAGCTGCTCCTGGACTGTGTGCACTTCACACCTTGTAAAGCAAACTAAAGGTACTGTTGGTCTTAATGCGTTGGCTCGTAAACTGCAGAAACTCCAAGTAAGTTATTCAGCAATTTGGTAGTGGATGCTGAAAGAGTGAGATGGTTGGCTGACGTGCCAGATGCCCCATCTGAGTGTTTGTGTCACTCCTGTGCAACTTGACTGAGTAGCAGGCACTTTGTTTTTTCCTAAAATTAGTATCTGAAATTCTCTTCCTTTGAATGTAGAAAAGTAAAGGAGGCTTCTCAGCAAAAATAATAGGCTGGTGTGTATTTTCCCATCTAATTGTGAAGTTGTTAGGAATTACTCTTCTCCAAGTATTTTCTACTTGGTCCACCACAATATTATAGCAACAAAGGTTCTTTCACTCCTGCAGATCTTGCAACAGTTAGAGATAGGGTGCAGGAGGAGAAGCACGAGCTCAGGACTCACCCTATGTCATCCCATGGCCCTGTGAGCACTGTGGCAGGAATGGGCAGAGCTGTCCCCTCTACACCAACACAGATAAAAGAGGCAAATAAATATTCTATACTGGGGACAAAACAGGAGTAAATTTCTTAATTTTCTTGGAATTATAGTGAGGGGAAAATGGAGAACGCCACGCTCCTTGGCTCTTAAACGCTACCTGAAGGGCAACTCGGGTTTTACTTCTTTATTTTTTTAATTAAGAAGTTAGGAGTTCTCAAACATAAGTGCTGGCCTGTCTACCCCACAGCTTCTAAGTAATAACTGTGAGCAATTAGAGGTTTGAGGCTTGTGCAGCTCAGAAACTGCAGCACTGGGGATCGTTGTGCCCCATGCCCTCAGCAACAGCAGTAGCTCCAGCACGGTCACATAGCCTGCATTAACAACACTCCTCGCATGCACGAGGCAGCTGGCAAAACAGTCTGTGCAGAAATTAAGTGTAGCACTTACAGAGTAAGCTGTTAATGCTTACTGCTGGCTCACTCAGTATAAATGGAACTGAATTTATAATATTAGACTAATAGCCGTTCATCTGCACATGGGATAACAACAATCAGTTAAACCAGACAAAATCCATTATTTGATTTTATATCCTTTGTGATGGATGTGTGACTTGTTAGCATTACCAGATATGGGAGCAGGTATTTTACACTCAGTCAAACCCCCCTGTTTCTGTGCTGGGGAAGGTTCAACGCTAAAATTAGGAATTTTTAAGGAGTCACATATTAATAAAAAAGTCAGAGCCTAAATTCAGGCTTGGAACTGTTTATTTAAAGGACTTCTACAGAAGTACTGGTGGAGACCAGACCACCATTCAACTTCACTGTAGAAGGAATGCAGATCTTCTTAAGTGATGGTTCCCACAGAACAGCCTGGTCCAAACACAAGAAGAGCCAAAGTTGTGGCTGTGGTTGAGATTTTAGTTTTCATCTTCATAACCGGTTGGGAGAGCATTTGTATGAGGGTTATGGAATAGAGTTTTGTTCCCATCACCCCAGGGAAAAGGCTGTTGGAAGAAAGAAGGAAAATAAGCCTTTAGCAATTAATTGAAGGAGCATAGCAAAAATGGACTCAACACCAAACACAGACTCCAGCTTAAGCAAGCTGGTAGCACTCCCAGGCTGTACAAAGCTAGAGATAAAAAAAAATCTCCATTAGCTGACAGCTGTTGTCTCCAAACAGCAAAGTCACTGCTGTGATTTGGACATCCACTGTGCTGTGCCATGAGGACCCCTGCTACAAGAGGCTGGGATCAGCTGTTAATGTGCAATGTGTATTAGCCTGAGGTAAACACAGCATCTCTACACCTGAGATGTTGTTCCGGGAGACATCACCAAGGCTACCTGGGGCTGGGAGGTGCACAGTGGTACCAGAGCTGCCAGACACTGCCGAGCTGGGAGCAAAGCCACGAGTTAAAAGCACGGCTGTACACACAACACCTCGCTCAGCAGAAGCCTGTGCTCCTCCAATTTGAAACTCTGGGCACTCGGAGCTCACAGAACACAGCAGGTAAACAAACGCACCTTGGTGCGGATGCGGAGATGAGAGTAGCGGATGAACTCGGGCCGCTCGTGCTTGTGCTGTGCCTTCAGGTAGCAGTTCAGCATACAGACACCGACCGCAGGCAGCGCCACGACGAAGCTCAGCGTCTTCCACAGGCGGGCTGGAGGCGGTACGGAACACAGCAACAGTGACCGTCCGCGTCACGGCGGGACCCGAGGGCGCGTTAAGCGTTAACACGTGAACGGGGCCGCAGCGCTGGCCCCTGCCAGCCCCCAAAGGGCACCCCGGGGGCAGCGCGTCCCGGCCCGGCGCGGAGGGCAGCGGCGCGATGCGAACCCGCGCTACGCCCCCTCGTCCCCGTTACCTCCGCCGCCTTCGTGCGCCACCGCGGCCGCCATGCTCCGGGCAGGCACTGAGCCGGGAGCGGTGGGCAGCAGCCGGGACAGCCCTCTGAGCGCCGCCATGTCCTCAGCGTCCGGAGCGCCCTACGGAACCGGAACCAGAACTGATGTCACTGCAGCGGGACGGAGCACGCGCGGTGTTCCGCCACCGCCTGCCTGACCTTGAGCTGCGGCACGCTTCTGCGCATGCGTTGTCGCAGGGCGGGAGGATCTTTAGTCACGTGAGCGTCCTCGCGCTAAGTCGCTGAAGGGTGGTGAACGGGCGCCATTTTGGTGCTGAAGGGTGATGCTGATGTGTTGCTGTTAGAGGCTTGGGGTGTTGCTGTGTGAGCGGCTCTGGAGCTGTGAGGATGGGATTGGAGAGCCCTGGAAAGAGGATGGGAAGGGGCCCTCCATTGAGGCTGTGCATAAGCAGTGGCAGTCAGTGCAGAGCAGTGAGGAAAGGAGCCAGCTTTAGGAGGTGTGGGCATAGGGCTGGTTGGGCTGGGGCACAGAGAAGGCTGCAGTGTGGCTGTGGCTGATTTGAACTCATCCTGGGTGCTGCAGGTCAGCACAGGGTAGAATTGGTGTTCAGGCTGATCTCCAAGCAGAAGAAGGGAAGGTAACCATGTATGGCACTGTGTGCAAATGAAATGTAGAGGAGGAAAGTTTCCTAGTGTTCCGTGGCTGAGATTCAGAGTCTGTGCTCAGTGCAGGCAGCTTCAGAGATGTTCCTCGTGTCCTGGGTAACATTCCCTGCCAGTGAGGTGATTGCACACTTTGTATTTTGCGCTTTGTATTTTGATTGCTTTTAGGCAACATCAAGAGGGCATCTGTTGTGTTTCTTAAGGTTTTTGTTTGTTTGTTTATAGGTATGTATTAGGGACCAATCTCCTCACTGGGATATAAAAGTTATGTTGGTCATAACAGTAAAAATATGCCTGTAATTAAATATATTTTTGTAGCCACTGGTATATTTTTAATTATGTGGACTCCTGGGATAATTCTGCTGACATCGTAACATCTTTTGGATTAACAAAACATCTCCAGAAGAACTCTTCATGGTAATTAATTTGCAAATGTCTGGATCCTATTTGACTGTGGTTCTTACTGGAGCCTGGCAATAGCCTGTTTGACCTTTGGTAGAAGCCAGGTCGATGGAGGGCGCAGTCAGAGCAGCAGCCTGCGAAGCTCCAGAGGGCTCATGGAGAACAACTAAAAAGGGTTCCTGTCTGTCCTCCCCTGGGTGTGCTGGTGGTTTCATTACTTTCTGATTTAAAATAGTACTTCCTCAAGCTTTATCATCCCTACAAATAATCTCTATCTTGGGCATGTCAGGAGACTAATGGGTCTGATTCACCTCTTCTTTAAATGTGGTATAAATGGGGAGTGACTACTTAAATATACAATATTTAAATTTTTTTATTTAAATTTTCATATACAATATGAAAAATTTTCTTGTGGATAAGAAAAGCCAGGCAGGTATTTGAAGAAAGCAAGCTATTCTAAAGAGAATTGTGAGGGATGTTCTGCTAACAGTTCTGAATGAAACATGCTGAACTGTGCAATACGTACTGGTTGTTATCACCACGATGACTGCATCTATCATGACAGCATGTGTCTTAATGAAGGTGTGGGGAAAATACTGGTGAGCAAACAGGCAGCTCTGCCATCGACTCTGGCTGCCTCTGATCACTGAGAACCACTGTTTGGACTCACTTTTATGCGCTGTTTCCTTACAGAAGAGACTTAGGCCATTTTCTTGTCTTGCTTTTCCCAGCTGCAGTGCTGGGTAGCAGGGAAAAGAGGACGTGGGTAACAATACGAATCTCGGGGTGAAATGTGATACGTGAAAGCCTTCGATACTGTCAGCTGGAGTTGAAGTCTCTGGGAGCAATGCCGGGCCGGCCCGCCTGGTGGCAAACTGCTGTCACTGGCAGCACCTCTCTGCTGAGCAAGTTTGGAAACAACGAGCACGCTCACTGGGATTTCAGGCTGTAATCTCATCTCTCTGCGTTCTGAGGCTTTCAGCAGCCTGCTCATCCCTCTATAATAGCAATGCTTCCTGCATCAGATATTGACGGGGCACTGCCATAACGAATGTGGAGTTTGAGCTGCAGAGATAGTGCCCGTGTCTCAAACTTCACAGAGTTTCTGGGGGGGTTCTTCATCTTCTCCCTGTAGTTCTGCGACAGCGGAAATCAATATTCTGCCATCTGTAAATTCTTTGTTCCCCTTTTCACCAGGGCTTTATCAGCTTTGTAAGTGAGGGGGGGGGGGCCCCGGGAAGAGAGCGTTTAGAGGGCCATTGTCCCTTCTCTAGGGAATGATCTGGAAGTACTATGCAAATCTTCATTTGAAGACTCTGGGAACCGGGGGAGGGCTTTAGCTGCGAGCTCAGTAGGAGGGGAGCTCAGTGTCCCTGCTCGCACACTCCTGCTTACTGCAAGTAGCTGGGAAGAGTTTTTTGAACTGGCAGAACAGACGTTTTGCGCTTTGTGCGCTTCTGTGAGGCTTTGCTGTCCTCCTGCTTTGTGCTTTTTTTCCCTGCCTACTTCTAAAGTTTTGCATAAGAATTGGGAAGGGGGGGGGAGATCGAGGAGTTACTGTTACTGATTATGAGGTCAGGAGGGTGCAGCACCCCTCCTGCCTGCCTTCCTTGCACGTTGATCTGGAGCCTCCTACCAGGCAGTGGTGCAGCTGCAGTGTGCTAGTCTGAGTTGCATGTCAGCATAGCCTGACTGCTGGCACTGCGTTAGCATAGAGCACAGACCCGATTTCAGTGAGCAAACGGTTCAGCTGGTAAGGAATAGTGGAGTGAAATAGTTTGCAGTTCTCAAATTAGCACATTGTAGCCAGGTCTTAAAAAGCCCTCTCTTACTGGGGCAAAGACTCGCAGCCCAGTACCTGCTTTATGAAACCCTGCAGTCTGTCCTGGCATGGCTTAATGCTGTGTGTCACCTGTTTTGTATTAAGAGAGGATCACACTAACTGCCAGCTTCCTGGAAACTGCGTAGGGTCCTGCTTAGGCCTCTTGGAAAGGGAAATACCCCTGCTGCACAGACACGAGGGAGAACAGGGCGGCGGGGGAGGGAAGCATGGATTAAATCTGGGCATTTTGGGGTTTATGCATGTTAAAGGCCGTCACGGACTTTTTACTTTTCTCACCTTCTTTTTCACGGCAGTAGCCCTGTTTATTTTCACTGTTTATTTTCAAACGTGGAGGGGTTTTTGTGTTCCAGCAAACTCAAAAAGAATGACTTTCTCCAGGGCTGTCATTATTTCAGTGTAATGCTGTTCTCTATATTCATCCAAGAAGATGCAGCCTTTTCAAAAATCTCACCTTCAGTCAAGGGAATGGAGGACTCCATACCACAAGGCCTGGTTCTCTTGGCTTCCACATATCCAATGCTATGTAAGCCTACCAGTTTGTTCTGCAAGGACTTTACTGCTTTTTGGGGGGTGTATTGCAGGCGTCCTCTTGTGTCAAGCTGGGTCTAAATTCACTCTTTTTTTTTTTTTTTTTTTTTTTTTTGTAACTCCGGAGTGACTCGGCTGATTTCAATGAGTGCCCTGTGGAGCTGTGCTAGCTGGAAACCAGCCTCACTCCTGCAAGGGCTGCAGCTACCTGTGCACGCTTCCATATCCGTGTAGGTGCTTTTCCAAGTACACTTGTTTGCATGTGGGCCAGCGCGTGAATGCACATTCTGCTCACCCGCTCTTCCCATATGCATGCAAACACACGCATTCTCAAGTGCACGCATCCATTCCCTTTCTCTCATACACGTTTACGCATATACACAGACCTTTTTGAAAGCTCCTGTGTTCAGAAAGGTTTTATTTATAGGTCCTGCCTGGTTGTGAATGTGAAAGGGAGAAAGCCCCTCAGAGGGGGCCTTTCATGTGTAAATCAGCCCAGGCTGAGAGCATTGGGGTCACTGAGAGGAGGATTTCTCTCTTAATTACTCAGAGAGAAAGCAGGCAGGGGACTTTCTCAAACTAATAGGGTTGTTCTCTGCTGGGGAAAGCAGCTTGAAATGCCCAATTGCATCAGACTTCGGGTTCTGAATCACAGGACTCCTCTTCCAGTAACAGAGCTTGTGTGTATGTGGCACTAAAAACAAGTCAGCTTCCAAACCAGCTTACTTATTAAAGATGGTTATGTTCAGTCTGATAACTGTGCATTCTGTGGAGGCTGTCTGCAAAGTAGAAAAATGTTGTTTGGAGATTAGTGCCGTGAAAGGGGCTCTGAACTTGGTCTTAAAATCAGCACTGAGTTCCCAGTTCAGCCATAGAGGGCCTTTGTGGCCTTTGACAAGAGGCTGCCCTGTGCCTAGCTGTGAAACAGCATCATTCTTCCAGAATGGGGCTGTTGAGAACAAAAGGTATGGATTGTGATGCTCTTGGTTTTCGGGCTGAGTTCTAAGGTGACTCTGCATGTCTGAAGAGGTCGGTCTTTTACCTGGAATGCAGTGCAAGCATGTGGATTTCCCTGCTGAAGTTTCATGGTTGCTGTTCATCCACCAACACAAAATCGAATCTGGAAATCCATTGCAGAGGCAAAGCATTCCCCAGTTGTGACAGAAACCAGCCAGTTCTTTACAGGAACCACAGGACCTGCTTGTGCAACCACAAGACAGCATGAAATGCAGCTGCAAAATGCAGCTGTCAGCAGTTGCAGGGAAGAAATCACTTGTGTGTGTGATGTGCAAGTGCACGCAAGCGGATTTGCATTTATTTGTTTATTCAGCTTCAATTAAGGTTACACCGTGTCATTTGTAGCTGCTTTTCATATGGTCTCTGGCTTTCTGGATTGGACATAAATGCTTTGAGAGGTAAATGTTCCCAACCTGTGCCACAACCCTCCTGGAGCCCCAGTGCAGGGCTCTTGAAGCTGCATTAGGTCAGCTTGCCTGGGAAGGCCGAGGTTGAAGGCCCTGAGCACCTGTTTGAGGAGCGGTGGGGGCCGGCAGCCTGAAGTGCCTGCAGAGGTCAGGGAGAAATGAATGGGTCATTTCTTTTGCAAATGAAGAGCTCCAGCCTGGAGCAGCCTTAGCAGGGCCCAGCATGTGGGTCCAGGCTGTTCCTTTTATGAGCTGATGGAAATGGGGCCCGAAAGGACTTCCCTGATAAGAGTTCTGTCGCAGCCTTTGTTATCTTTGCCTCCCTCAGCATGCACTGGCCATAGAATATGGATTGGGGGTTATCCTGGCTACCAGCATGGTCAGGAGGATGCAGGCTTCATGGCAGCAGAGGAAACCAAAGGCTGCAGGGTATCCTTATTGCCATTCCACTAGGAAAATCTTGTATTAAGATGTAGAACACATGTTTCTCTCTGTGCTAGTGCTCCTTCTCATCCAATCTAAGGGCTGCTTTAAAGTAATGCACTTAACTTAGTATCAGGGATTTAAAAGCCTTGATTCTCTTCTTTCTGATGGTAAATTTTCACTTACTTTGACAAGTCCTATGAATACCTGATGCATCATTTTCCCTGTAAAACACTGAATAATAGTAGTATCTTTTTCTTAGAGGTGTTGAGAATTTGGGATCCTTCATGTATGCATGTGTGCTGTTAAGTAGCATGCTCTTATTGGTGGTCACAGTTATGTCATACGTTGTAGTTATGGTCAGAGTTACTGGTTTTGTCTGCTTTTTGCGCAACAGTGTTAATTCTTTCAATGTGTTGGTTTGGAATTCTCCTGACAGCAGATAAACAATGTCAGTTCTGTGTTTCCATTTGCTTTTGCTTTGCAGACCACCGTGAAACTTTTTTTTGCTGTGACATTGTAATGGGAGGTGGAGACACCTCGAGGAGAAGGTCGAAACAGACAGCAGCAGTTGCAGGCAGTAATGTCTGTCTATGACTGGAGAAAATCCGGCCCCAATTACAGGTTTGTATGATCTCTGTATGCCATCTTCACTACGTACAGGTATTTAAGGCAAGACGTGACACGGAAATAGCTGCTTCCCCTGTAGCAGCTCCAGGAACAGCTTTCTATTACTGTGGAGCAGGGGAGGGTGAGGGTTTTAAGGGAAGGTGGCTAAGGTCACAGTAGCTATGCTCTGGGTTTTTCCTTGCTGCTGTAGTGCTACAGCCAGGGCCTGAGGCAAGCAGCTAAGAGTTAGAGAAGTCATGGGACTTATGCTGAAGATAAAAACAAACTTAAGCTTAGACGTTATTTTTTGACCTCTGCTGTATGTGAAGGATTGTTTTTATGGCTTTATTTCCGTTTTCCTTTAGAAATGTCAGGAAGACTCTCCATGTTTCAGATCTGTTTCGGTACGTTTTCACTTCATGATGCCGAGTACTGACGCTCTCAGGAGGTTGCAGAAAAAGGACATAAAACCATAATAAGTTTTCAGAGAGGTAAACACGCTCTTTATTTCTTCGAAACGTCAGCCAGGCTGTAAGTGGTGCTGAAAGAGAAGATGGATGTTTCTGAGGGCTTAGGGACAGTTTTGTGTTTGGGGTAAGGCTGAGGTTAGCCATGGCGCCTGCATCCAGGCAGTAATTTGACAGCAGACATGGGCACACAGTAATGCAGTCTCTGAAAATCACAGAAACCTGCTGAGTTATTGTGAGCTGGAGGAGCTTTTTCTGTTTGTGGGCACATGAGTCTGCCTGCCTCACATTGTGAACACAAAACTGAGACGTAAAGGAGGCTGGCAGATATTGCAGAATGCTGATGGAAGGGGGGAGAGGGCAGAAGAAATGGTAAAAGTTTGTAGATAAAGGGCTTGGTGCTAGTTGTGAATTCCTATCAGGTAACTGGTCTTCAAATGGAAGCATTTGTTAAGTAAAGTGATGATTTAAGGTGGGAGTTGGATAAATATCTGCAAAGGTTTTTGAACCCTATTTGCAGTGTGATTGTGGGATATGCTAATAGAGAAAGCAGTTTTACTTGCTAAATAGTCTTTGTATTTGTTTATGTATCTAAAATACACAGAGCAGGCAGTGTGTATGATACCACTGAAAGAGGGAAGCAGGTAACACTATGGGGTGTGGGCACATAATATCCCACAGATAATCCTGTCTGCAAAGAAGGCATGTGAATTTCCTTCTGGTAACCCCCTGCCCCCCTACCATCCTGTGAGCATCACTGCTGGGTTATCTGGGGCCTTGTACCTGGCTGCTGGCTTGTGTCCCCTGTTCCACACACCCACTCCTGTTCCACCATGGACAATGCAACCTGCTTTATGCATACTGGCTTTCTTGGATGCTGTGTGTCTTTTTTCCTTTTACTGGGGCTTAGGTAACTTGATGTAGTTGTAGGCTGTCCTTGGCAGTGCCTGCAGTCTGTGGCTGAAGTGATGCCTTCCACAGAGCACAGCCAGCAGCTCCTCTTGTCAGTGCATATAGTGCATATCCCTTCTTTGTGCCTGTCAGTGCTCTGCTGGAGAACATAACAGGCTCTGCCTGGCAGGTCTGGGGCAGTTCCCCACACAGGCACACCCTGATTTCCTACCACAGCTCTAGCTGTTCCACAGGATTGTAGCAGCTTGAAATTGGTGCTTTATTTCAGATTTTTTTTTTAACTTTTGAGAGTCTGTTGGTGAGCCTTGAATCATTCCCATGCTTCAGCCTTGTGTGTTAATTTCCAAGGACGCTCAAGCTGCTGATAGATGTGTGCAGAAACAACCTTCGACCATTCCTGTAAATCACTGTGTTCTTCATCAGTTTCATTCCGGGCTTTTTCTTAAACTGGACGCAGGACAATGGACACCAGCAGGCACGGCTCCCAGTGACTGGGTTATTGTCACATATCCAAAAGCCTGGTGGGAGGAGCAGACATCAGGTCTGAATTCATCCTGCCGGGGAGATTCGGCTGAGAGAGGAGGAAAAGAAGGTCAGAGGAGGCTCCAAGGAAACGGCTTTGGTTTAAAACGTTTCATTAATTTTTTCACACTGGAAATATAAAGTGCAGAAATACAATTGCTTGGCAGAGAAACCACATTTATTAAGTCCTGTATACATTCAGTACTCTGTACAGAAGGAGACAAAATATCTCCCTGGCCAACTTAGCAGAATTACAGGTCCCTGTCATATATGTGACTTCTTTTTTTGCTTCCCAAAATAGCTCACATAACCTGGAGCTGTTTTTTATCATTGATAAATGTATTGATAAAGAATGTTCTTTTTCTAGCAAACCATTGCGCTCTTCTGTAGTCACACAGTCTTTGCAGAGCAGCCTACCTTTATCTAGGCAGTGTATCAGTGTCAGTCCAGCTGGGAACACTACCGGGATACTCTCCTCATATTGTTTCCCTTCCCTTCTGTGTCTGCCTTTGATTTTTCCTGTTGTAACTCTATAAGATAATCACAGCCAACCTTTTCGAAAGGGTTATTCTTCTCCCTGTTGATTTGACAAGCTTCTTTTTGGAAAGATATTTTGCACCTGCCACTTGAGCTTTGTAACCTCGGGATGTTCTGCCTCATGCAGGCAGCGCTGGGAGTTTGGGTTCGTGCACATACCTGCAAGAGATAGCCAATGCAGGGTTACAGCAAATGTCACCAGTTGGAAGGCAGGAAAGGAGCTGCCAGTAAGTCTCATCTGCTTTCTTCTTTTGGGGCATAGTTTGGCCAAAAAACTGAGCAGTCAAAATGTCACAGATGTATGCGGGTGGGTTTCTCCTGGGAAGCCAGGATTACTTTACATTTATTTTTTAAATGATAGGTGAAAAACTTGGAGGGGTTTTGTTATTACATGCCAGTGGTAATTTAAAAATTATTCTGGCTCTGAAAGAAATGTTTCCCAGCAGATTGCCAAAACAAAAGCAAGCACACAATGCCCTACAAAAAGGTCAGTCCTGTCCAGGCACTGAAACACCTGAAGTACACACTGTCAGCCTTTCGCACTGCCAACCCCTGTGGTACATTTGTACCCAGGCTCTTGTCAGCACTTCACATAATTTTTATGTTCTTTACTGACTGTACCGGGCAGCGTGTTGTCAGGCCCTGCATGCACCAGCCAACTCTGCAAGCTCCTGCAGGTCCAGCTGCATGTGTTCAAGGTCTGCTCTGATATGGTGGGTGTATCCTGGGACCAGAGTGCTGAGAGAAGCTTGCTGGGGGCTCTCTGCTTTCCTTGAGAGCTGTGACACAGAGCTGTCCTTGTCTGGGGGTAGGCTGTAGGTGTGTCCAAGTGTCACCCTTCCTGATTCTGACTTGCTGACTTGACTTTCTGGCTTGGCCTCGAATCAGCAGGCTCATTTGATGCTTCTTGGACTCCTGGTTAAACTTGGTTAGTCTCACCAGACCTGCTCCACTCTTGTTTCTGCACTGTGCCTACTGCTGAGGTCTCTGCCTGCCCTGCTGTCACAGTGTGCCAGGCTTCTCTTGTGCTCCTCTGCAGCTCCCACACTGCTCTGCTCCCAGCATTGACCTCAGCCTCCCTGCAAAGCATCTCTATCTGGAAAGTTAGAGAGCAAGTGGGCAGGAGTACAGGAGATGCTGGGAGACCATGCTGGTTTATTGCTATGACAAATAAAAGAAACGTTGCATTAGTTTTGCCTTCCATGTTTTCCAACTTCTTAAAAAGACAAACCCCAAATTGGGTCTGTTGGCAAGGGCTTGGAATGCTAAGCAAACAGCCGGCAGGAGGAGCTCTCAAGACATTTTGCTTGATCAGTTTTTGGACAGTCCTAGCGGTATATTTTAAGGGCATCACTTTAGAGGCACTTTCTTGCAGAAAAACTGACTTGATTGAGCTGCTTTAGTGGCTTTTATTTTACATATTTGTAATTCCTCCACACCCCCATTTTCCCAGGTCCCTTCTTTCATTGTGATCTCTCTCTCAGTCGTTGATTGAGAAACTTACTATTCAGGAAAACATTAGGGATCATTTTGGTTCCTGGAAGGAGGCAAATGGGTTTTTTAACTTCCAAGAAAGCTAATGAACAGCATCCTAACCACAGAGTAAAGAATTCCTAAGCAATCCTTATCTCTGAGTAGAAAGATATCAAGGAAAGATAACAATTTGGATTCCTTACACCCTATGAGGGAACCTCTAAGCAAAGGAGCTCTGCAATGCATCAGTACCACTCTGAGTGTTCAGCTGACAAAGTTCTTCAAATAGCTCTGTCTCCTGGTATACAGTTGATCTTTTTCTTCTGTAAGAAACAACAGTCATTCTCTGTGTTCCCCCTGCTTCTTAAATCCAGACCCAAACTGAGTGGGCCCTGTAGCCACGCCTCCACACCACCTCTGAAAACAAATCCAGATTACTATTTTTTCTTTCCTATGATGGACTTTTTTTGTAAGTCTGGCCTTTGTTTAGTTATCCAAACGGGAGCTAAGTGCCTTCTGGTCTTGAATATTGCTGTAATAATTATTTGGAATGCACCAGAAACTATTGTAATGCATATCAGTGCAAGTTAAGTCAATAGAGATTCTTGAAATTTATCCTGGTGTTCAGAGAATGGAATTCATGCACTTCAATTTACAGCTTATCAGATTTAATGAATTCACAGTAATCTTTTATGTTCTTGTTTACACATTTTCTTCCTATTCAACCATAATGTATGTGATTTAGAAAATGCAGAGCTGAAAGGCAGTGTATGGGTCAGATATGTCCCACGGAGCACAGCGCTGTGCTTCGGATTTCAATCACATTTGCAAAGCCTCTGTGCAGAAGTGCTACTTTCTGACTCACTTGATGCACAGAAATCCAGCTTGATTTTTCAGAACTCTCTTTGCATTCTGGAAGCTAGAAAAGTGTACTGAGGAGCAGAGATGATGTTCTTTAGAGTCATTAGATGATAATTATTAAGAGACATTATTTTATTTTTTGAAGGTGATTTTTCAATGTAATGCCATATTTTAGTTTGAAGGCTGGTAAATTGGAAACCATTGGATCTACCTTTTCTGGAAGTCATTTAGTACATCACCAAGAAAACCTCACATAAACCTTCCTTTTCCCAGGATATCAGCATACCATCTGAAGGTTATCCCACTGTGGTTCATTCTGTTCAGGGTTTGAAGGACAAAAGGATCACATTGATTTCCATGATGTTTAAGGCTAAACACGTGATGTTCTCACCTGGACATTATTTCTCCCTGACTTTATGAAACGTGACAACTTGAAAATGCTCCATCTGATCAATTGTAAACATTCAGGTAATTCCCATCATTACTGTGGGAGAGTATCACTACTCCGGGAAAACAGTAGAAACCAACATGGAAAAATGAGGTAGCAGCAGTAATTTAGATATCACTGATTTGCAGATCAAGTGATTGGGCACTAGCACTCATTTGTGTCCCTGGCATACCAATACATTTTTTTCTCCTCTCTGAGAACTGGAGTTATCACATCACTGAAAGATCTGTGGCTGGATAAATAATACAGAGCTTGTATGCAATCTGTGCAGAACTGAAGGAAAATAGATCTGAAGTTCAGAATGGAGGAAAGGATGGTGGACATGCAACAGCTCTACTATGAGGGTGCCCTGCTACAGCAGGAGTGAAGGTATGCATGGAAATGCTGATAGTGACATCAAGAGGAGGTAGATGGGGCACTGTGCTGCTGTTGTAGGAGGGAATGAAGGATTCTCAAGGAGAGTAGGAAGAGGATTCCTGAAGGGGAGAAGTATTGGCATCACACCAACCTGTGTGCAGCCTGCTTGTGAGCACATGTGTGCTTCAGGTGTTAGAGGAGAGGCTGAGAGAGGGCTTTGGAAAGGTGGCACGTGAGGCATCTGTGAAGCAGGGGGGAGTGTTAAAAAATGAGAGAGGCCCTCAGAGTAAAGGGAAGTGGGGTGAGACTGGATTCGTTCTGAGGATTTGTAAAAATGGGGGGGAGGATAGCCCATGGTGGGCTTGAGGAAGGTGAGTGTCCTGGCTTCACAGGGCCCAGCTTTGAAGTACTGCCTTAATGCTGTTGAAAAACAAAGGAGCCTTAATGGCTTTCAAGTACTGCTCTATTTTCTGAACTCATTAGATTCTCTTCTTTCCATCTTAGTACTGGATGTTGAAGCTTATTAAGCAATAACCTAACAACACTGCTAGTATTTCCACGTTCTGTTTCTTTAAGAA